CCCGAGAGCCGAGCAGCCGGCTCCCGGCCTCCATAAACCCCTGTTTTAAAAATTATTTTTACCCTTCCTTAAAAAAAAACCCAAATAACCAACAACCTATCTGCGTTCCCACCTCTCCTCTCTGCTGTTTGGTAGCTCCCTAACATAACGGCGAGTGGAGAGTTGGAGCTGTATGGGAGGCTGAGCCCTTTGTTTGTCAGGAGGGTCATGTTTATCTCGCTGGATAACGAGGGACCTAATGGAAAATTGTCTCCTTTGGGATTGGCTGAAGATTTCTTAAATTCGGAGGTGTCTGGTTTCCTGGCGTGGCTTGCTAATCACCCCGGATATTCATAGTTACGTTATGGTTTCTTGATGCTGTGAGAGTTTATTCTGGTGTTGGTGCCTAAAGTGCTCTGCTTTCCAGAAAACAACTCTTCAGAGTCATCATCTTGGAGCATTAGGGCAATACTCACAACTTGGAGAGGCACAGTGATTTGGGGGTTTTAAAAAAAAAAGAGGAGAGAGAAAGGAAAATAGAAATTTTAAAGGAGGTACTTCCACCTTACAAATACATCGTCAGTTTATTTTTAGGCGATATATATATAGGCAATATATAAGTTTACTTTAGAAAGCAGATGTTTTCTTGTGCAGTTTTCAGCTGTAGAGCATAAGAAGGCTGAAAATGGGAAGTCCTTGAAGGAGAGTAAAAGTAACTCAGTCATTGAGAGATGACTAAAAAGCAGATACATAACACCGCTACCAAAAAGTAAATGGGGTGTGATTACTTACTTATTTTGGTTTTTTTTTAAATGCTTTTGAATCCATGAAAATGCAGTGTAGCTGCAGCTGGATTTTAATAGCTGTCTAAGCTATTTGGAATAAAATAGTTCTTGATGGTGTCATGTGATGTAGTAATCACTGGTGGGTAGAGTAGGGCTGATCTTGGAACTTTTTCTCCAGTGCTTTACTAGCTAGGTCTTAGTGGATAAAGTTAAAAAAAATATAAACCTGACAATACTTGTTTGTTTGTTTGTTTCCAGAAAACTGATTGGGAAGTAGCCATAAAGAGTATTAACAAAAAGAACTTGTCAAAGTCACAAATCCTACTTGGAAAAGAAATAAAAATCTTAAAGGTATGTTAATTTGCAGTGATTTTTAAAGCTGCTTTACTTGAAAGCAAAAGAGACTTTTGACCTAGTTCATTCTGGTTCATGGGTAGTATCACAGTAATTGCTGTTCTGCCTTTTGTTTCTTTGTTAGTCCCAGGAGAAATCCAGAAATAAAAAGACCAAGAAAATAAAAGGAAAATATACATTTTTTTTAGTTCTGGAAATGGTCTCAGAACAGGTTATGGGCATACTTTTGTAGTGAAAAGTGGAAAATTGTTGTAGAACCAGTCTCTGTGCTTTGTTTATTGCACTATAGGAAACTTTGTCCTTCAGGATGGCTAGTGGGGCACCTTTCCCAAGCAGTGCATACAACAAAAGTCATAACTGAGGGTAAACCGTCAGTCTTTGATCTTTCTTCATCTTCTTTGCTCAAAGATGCCTTGAAAGCTAAAATTGGCATGCTGAATTTGATCCCTGAAGCAGTCTTCCCGCTTCTGAGTTGTGTTAATTGACTTAAAATGTGTAGTGTGGCTCTAATGAAGGAAATAAAACAGAGCATCATTTAGTTTTTCAATGCTTTGTTAGGGAAACGTCTCCTTGGATGGTCTCTTGCTGTTCTCTGCTCTCTGATCGTCACCACGTATCATTTTGCACAGTTTTGCAGTAATAATTAGTGCTGCTTTCTTTCCGTGTTTCCAGGCTTCTTGAGATACATCACAGTTTTATATGCTAATATATACATATTATATTCTAGTATATTTATTATATACCAGAAGTTGTAATGATGGGTATATTAGTGTGCTGAAAGTACTTAGCAAAGACAGATGCTTTTTTGAGCAGTTACAGATAACTGCATGAGCTGTCCTGTGCCAGTTTTATTTGGTGTTACTTGGTTTGATTTCCTTTTTATTGTAAAATGGTAAGGTTGACTTGGACATAGTGTAGTTGGTTACTCTGCTACACAAGAAATTGTGGGAGACTATGAAATTAAATTTAGTCAGTTTTCAGTACTCATTAAAGGATCTTGTGTTATAGTACTTTCTGTAACAAGACATAGAAAATAAGTTCTGGAACCAAATGTTTTTATGACCTCTGGAGATATTGCCTAATTTCCTGTTCCTTTAAATATTGTCTAAATAGCTGGGATTTCCTCCAAGTTCCATCTGATGGTCTAAAAAAGATGCTACCTTTCTTTGTAAATTTTGATTCTCTTTGGTTATCACCTAGTAAATTAAGTTTGAAGTAATAATAACAGGCTGTTTCCATAATACAAATATTTTATTTTACAGGAACTTCAGCATGAGAACATTGTAGCTCTCTATGATGTCCAGGTAAAATATATTTTGATGCCTTTTTCTTCATTAAAGTTTATTTATGAAAACACAATGCATATGTATGTATACTGAGTAGAAAATTTTGAATGGCCGTGTATTTTCTTGCTATAATCAGTTTGGTATTTAGAAAAAGAAATCTAGTTCCCTAGCAGTGGCAGGGGAGTTCTTTTGTCTTCAACACACTATGCACTTATTTTGTATTGGCTCTTTCTAATAAGTAGGATGCAGAGCTGGGATAGAAAGCCATGAGGAATATGGTTGCTTCCAGGCAGCAGGGGCAAGTGGCCACCTGAGAACCTCTGCAGGGGCTGTTAGTGTGGTTTGGTCCTGTCTCCAGAGAAAAAGCAGCAACTGGCTGGGCTGGGAGCTCTGTCGCTGGCAGTAACTGTTCTCCTGAATTAGCCTTGGTTCCTTGGCCCTATAATTTAATCGGAAAGTAGGTGTTTGTGGATAGTGACTGAATACACCTGAAGGAAAATGAACTAGAATGAGTTGGTTGGTCTAGATGATCTCCGGAGGTCCTTTCCAACCCTACCATTCTGTGATTCTGTGAGTTGATCTGAACGAATGAAGCAAGTGGTGTTAAAAAGTCAACATAACTTAAAATAATTCTGTTGTAGGAAAGGAGCGGCATCTCTGAGATCTCTGTAACAAAGAAATGTATTAGATATATAGCCTTGTGTCATGCAGGGAAGAACTGAGGTAGAAGACCATGATCACACGTGTATATGTTGCTGTTGCCTGTGTTCAAAAGGATAAGATAAAGTATAAGGGCCAAGCAGACATTTGGATCTTTTCACGTAGGAGAAATAAGTATTAAATTGCTTCAGATTATCTTCCTGTCTTTATTCCCGAGATTCTGCCTGATAAAGCGAGGAAGTTAGTTTTCTAGCCTGCCTAGGGTAGTGTATTCTACATAGTAGGAAGTATGGTTTTTGTATTCTAAGGCCTGCAAGTGTCGAGTAAGGCTAAATACGACGTGGTATAGGTTATACAGCCGTTTTTTCTGCGTGGATAAGGACTATACATTTGTCTCCTGGGCTCAAATCTAATCTTAAAAACAGAGTTACATTTATTAAAAAAAATTAAGAACAACCCTTGGGGCATTGCATCGTTAAAGTAACGCAAAATAGATGTTTTGACATTCTTCCATGTTTTAGGATGCAAATGTGGAAAGACAAAAGGTTTTCAGCTTACACGTAGATGTGTATCTCTCTGTAGCTACAGAAATCTGCATCCACATGATACTGAGCTAGGCCGGCTCAGGTTTTATTGCGTGTAGCGCTACGGGACGAGTACTAACTTCTGTTGACTTTTGGTACGAAGTGATGGTGTTCATCTAGTAACAGACTATGCATCAAAGTGTCTTGTTTGGATGGGTAGGCTCTTTTCCCATCTGGGTCTTGACTTCAGAACTCTGCACTTTGAATGGTATTAGCTGCTCTGAGAGAGAAAGTATAGTCTGTTGTGCTTCTTGAAGAGACCAGGTTTTCCTGAGTGTTGCTAAGTGGAAATAATCTCTCAGCATCCTAAATTTAGCATATCCAGACATCTTAAAAGAAACTGGAATTGTTGACTGAGGGTGTTAGTGTGTGAGTAAGCAGCTGAATTTCAGATTTATCATTTACAGTTGTTCATATGTGAAGATTACTTACTAAGCTTTGCAGCTCAACCTGAGGGTCTTTGACTAGATACGGATTTTGACGATTTAACGTTGTGTATCTTCTCAGCCTTGGAGAGGCTCTTGCTTCTTTTGATTTATGCACAGAACATCCACAAGGGAAGAGAGGACAGAGCTGTACACTTGTCTATGGCTTCTTTATCTAAAGCTTATTTAAAAACGTAGCTTTTATGCTTTTCTGTTCTGCCACAGGAGAGATTGCCCTTAGAGTGACAGGACTTCTTGGATGATCAGTCCTATACTCTCCATTTAAGAAGAGAATGTTGCTGCTTGCTGCTATTGACTATTGCATTTAAATAAAATGAACAGTTAAAGCAAAGAGAAGGGAAAACCTGTGTCTCATACCTTGGATATATTTCAAATACATTCACGGCAGACATAAAGCTTGGCAGCGTGATGCTACTTCTCTAGAAGAAATTGCTCTGCAAAATATGGTCTAAAGAATGTGACACTTGCACAAATATGCTTTTCTTTTTCTGCGTAGGGCTGTGTTTGTGAAATCCTATACATCATTAACTTATGTGATTACATTAATTTATGACCCAGCAAGAACGAGCACTATGCAAGGCATTCACATGTCTAGTAGGCTGTTACACCTACTAATCTTCTTTAGCATTTCATGTTTTAGCATGTACTGCCCTTTTTGTTTGCCATAGTATTGTGAACATAGTGATACAGTACAGCAGATAAGACTTCAGGATTTCAAGCAATTTTTAAGTTACAGAAGCTATTTTTTTTTCTCCTTGGTGCTGGAGCCAGTGGAGTCTGTGTCACAGTAGGAAGTTCTCAGTGTGACTGGTAGTCTGTTTTATTTCTGTAGTTCTGTTGGTCTGAAGTTTTTCTTAACCTTAGACAGTTTGAAATAAGAAAATGCTCATGTTTCAGATGCACTGTTTGGCAGACCATTTAGCTGAATGATCCAAGAACTGATTGTTGTACCAAGTTCTCAGATAGAAAAGGTGGTGTGCAATGTAAGTGGCAAAACTCAGTGACAAAAGCATAAATTCATTGCAATGAAGAATGATTATTTTTACATCTCATAATATTAAATGAAATTATTTATACTTAATGGCAGTACTTTGAGATTAAAGCTCTATCCCTGCATAGCAATTTGGAATATATCTTTTAAGTTTGAGAATGAAAGGGTAGTTGTTGTTTTACATATTGCAAAAGGCTTCATTTGGAATTGTTTTCACAGGAGGTAGTTAAGATTCCTTCTCTTTCATCTCTGTTCATTTATGATTGTGTTCCTGTTGCATGACCTGCGACCAGTCACACAAGTCAGTGCAATAAGGATACATACACCATTAAGGTTTTAATTAGGTCCAAGAGAACTTGTGAGCCGTTCTGCTGACAGTATGTGAACATTTTAAAACCTCATACGTTGCTCTTGCTTCAGTTCTTACAAACAGCATTTTGATATGTTACTTAGGAGAAGGTCCACTGAGTTAAAGTACTAGAAGTGCCCATTCAGCTGGAGACACACCCGAATTAATTGGTTTGCCGTTAACGTTGTGTGTGCGTTGGTCTGCATAAAAATCTTTTGTTCTGGTGCCAGCATGATAATTGCCCTTGTTTTCCGTAAGGTGGTGACACGCAAGAATGGCAGGTTTGATCTGCAGTTAAGCATTTTATGTAAGCAGAGCACGCTGTTGTTGTTTGTGCCATCTCAGAAGGCCGGGGATCTGCACACGCCAGGGTGTGGAAACCAGTGGTTCTAAGAGTGAAGGCATTTGTGGAGATACTTAAGTATGAACTCTCTGTCTGCGAGAGGCAAATGTTTTGCAGTAGTAGGGCTCTGAAACATAAGCACATGCAGCTCACCTCTAAATGTGAAATTGTTTTTTTCATGAAGTGCAATGCTTAAAACCCCCCAGAATACAATAGATGGATAGCAAGATGTAACCTGTTGAGACGTATTTTACTTGTCTTCTTGAGCAAGAGTTTGGTAGTCTTTCATTGAAGAATAAAAAACTCCTGAATCGCTAAAATGGTGTAAGAATGCAGCTCTCTTCCCATGGTGGTGCTATGGGGTGTCATTCGTCCTGCAAAAGATGACCAACCTTGGATCCTGTTAATTGGGGAAATGCAGCCCACTGTTTTTCAAAAGCAAAAGGAGTCTAAAATAACCTCTAACTCACCAGCATAAAGTACATTGAGGTCCTTGGAATAAGTATTATACTGAAGTATGAAGGTATCAGTAAGTTATTTGGAATGTGCTATATTTAGCACATGAATTTACAGTTTTGTGCAGTTCATGATCCCAAGTGTGTGCTGAGTAGAAGTAATCTCTTACACAGTGCCAGACAGTGCCTGTTTTAGCAAATAATTTAATTCAAAACCTCTTTAGAATGTCAGCCATCAGAATGAAAGCCTGTAATGTATCTCGGAGATAGCGTTTGAGAAGAATGAATTAATGTCTTCACTGTAAGGAGTCTGAAGTTTGCTGTTTGAACAGTAGTTTAGGGAGAACTAATTTCTAGTGTGTTATTGGAGAAACAGTATCTGAACAGAAATTGTTTCTTGTCTTGGCTTGTTGGTACATAGCAGACAAAATAACTGCAGCTGCTTGTGCTGTCCTTGAAAGCGGTGGAAGCTAGCGGGAAGAAAGCCAGTGGTGGTTCTGGTACCTACACCTCAGCCTTTGCTTAAACGCAAGTGCCCATGAGTTCTTACTAGGGATGCTTATGGAAGGAACTGTATTCATCTATACCTGTTGTTTTACCAGTGGGAATTAAATATTGCTGTTTGGTTTACCCAACGGCTCCAGTTGGTCTGGGAGTATTGCAATTGTTTCTTGAGGTATTTGCTTTAAGCAGTCTGGTGTGTGCTGTTGATCTTTGTGTCTCGCAGCTTTGTCTCCATACTGTCATCATAGCTGTTTCTGAACTGTTGGTCTTCTGAATGAGGATGTCTCAATATCTTTATTTTTTTCCCTCAGCTCCTTGATTAAGGCCTTTGTGTTTGTCAGTATCCTCACTGTGTGTGGAAATAGTCATATGAAGACATGCCGTTCAGATAAGAAGAAAAATCTGTCCCTGTAGAAATTGTAAAGGTTTTGAAATACTACCTGGCAGCTGATGCTAACTGGAAGGTTGGTTATGACAATATTGGACTGCAAGGAATGACGCCAGTGTAGGCGTTGAAGGTTAGGGACAACCAGTTAGAATTTGTTTTGGCCCATGGAACCAAGGAGTTGGAGTTACTACGCAGTCCTTGGCCTACCTGCTGTGCCTAGGTGCTATAATTTGTATTTCAAAACTGTTTCAGAAGACCTTCTAGTACGCGAGCGTGTTAAATATTCAGTGTGCTGTGAACGGGTTTGCCTTCCCTTTGTGTTGCAGCAGGCCACTTTCTTTCTCTACCTCCCATATGTATTAGTTAAGTACAGCATTTCACGTACCAGAAAATGAGTGATACAGCTGTTGTGGTACATTTCTCCATGGCTGATTGCTCTTTTATGTGAGTAATTGGCAGCATGCACGCTGTGAGAATCCTACAGGCACATGTCAAGTGACATTTAGTCTGAGACTTAACATTTAGTCAGAACTAACAAAATGTTCAGTCCTTTAGATGATAGGAGCTGAACATGTTAGCAGCTGCTGCTGTGGAGCACTCGCAAAGCAATACAGGGAGAAACAGCCTTAAAAAGATCTGGACCAGTCCTTTTTCACTAAATCACTAGAACTTTTGCCAAATGTATTTAATGCTCCAAAAAAAAGAAGGGTGTGTTCCCAGCCAAAGAAATTAAAGCAAATATAGCACAAATTAACACATCAGAAAATTAATCAGATAATAGCAGTGCACAAGCTGTCATGTTAACTCTCATGCTCTTGGGACTCCGATCCACAAATGGCAACTAAACAGAATCTACAGACTTGGAGCAAAATCGTAGTAACTATTGATTTGCCACAGTTTGCAGACTTTCAGCTTGTTCTGAAGGAGGACTTCATAACCAAAAAGAAATCTAGGGTATGTTTCTGCCAATATGTTAGAGTTCTAGCAACAGCTGTCAGAAGTAACCATGGATGTTTTGACTTCTTTTTCAATTAATGTCTTTTAAATGGAACTACTGCGCTGAGCCTGTGATTTGGGTTGGAATTTCACATCCCCTGAGACAACTGTTGGAAGTCTGGGATTAAAACACAGCAAGTTCTGGCAAATATATTGCCTCTTAATCTCTTCCTATTAGGTTTATCTGTTAGCTCTCAGAACTGTAAAATGGTTTCCTATTAACCTTTGCTATCTTTTACTTCAACTTGCAAGTAAAACCTAGATTCAGAATAAGAAGGAGCAAAAGTAGGTTTTTGTCAAGAAAACTTTAGGCAACAAAGCAGAGCATGCTGGGCAAAACTGTTCCGTGATTGTTGCAACACGACATACATTTGTTTTGCTTGATTATTTTTCTAGGTAGAAGTGTAGGCCAGAACGACTCCAGCTGCAGTAATTTTATGGTCTGTATATCAATGTAAAGTTTTGAAAGCTTGGTTACCTGTTTCAAGAAACAGTTTAAAAGAGCTTGCTAGGTCGGCTTTGTTGCTGAATGTTAGATCTGAAACATGCAAATTTACTAATCTTTTCGTTTTTGAGCACTTTGCTTAGCAAGTCAACAGAAATCGCAAGTCTAGGGACTGACGATAGGGATAGCTTTATTTTTCAGCAGAATGATTTAGAAGGGAAAAATGCCTTTCCAGAACTGACTTGTGTTTTCTGAATGTATTCCCAAAATGTAGATCGCATTCCCAGCCAGGCTGGCCAAGAACTGTAGTGCAAAATTTGAGCAACTATGAAGGGGTGAACAACTTCAGCTGTTTGGAACTAGAGCTTGCATTGGTGGGATATTGAAAAGTGTTTGGTTATGAGTTAAAAATTGGGACGGGGTGCAGCTGGGGAGCTTGGTACCAGTACCATGCAGAATATTCCTTCTGCAATACAAATCAGATAGGAGTTTTGACCAGTCTGGGAAAATCTTTGTGAAACCTCTAATCTGCTCTGCTGTTCTAATAAAGGGTTATCCAAGCTACAATAAGGAAACACACTCTACTTCTTACTATGACTTTGACCCCATGACTTGTATTTTTAATCAAGAATATCAGTCAAAAAAAAATGAGTAATGCTATTTGAGGGATATCTAGTGTAGTCTGTAGGAATGACTTTCTTTAAACAGGTGAGGGCTAGTACAAATCATCAGCTCCATGTTTCTGAAGAGAGCAGTTTCATTTGAAAGGACTTTGTTTCCAAGGGACTCCAGAAAACACATTGTCTCAGTTCTGTGGTGAATAAATGTCAGTCATGAGCTGAGCATTACATACTGCCATAAGCTGCTGTTTTTGTACAGAGTGTGTTGTGTAGTGGAGGCAGTGACGCTGTGGAACATCTATTTCTGATTCATGGGATTGCTATGTTCGGGTAGAAATCCGCTAGCTGAGCTTCTTTCTTGTCACTGGAGGACAGACAGTTTCCATGCTTCTTAGCTGTGTTACTCTTTTACACATCACAGGCGTCCTTTAAGTGAAGTGATTCTCTGTTGGCAGAATTTTCAGTTTGACAAACTGGGGTCTCAGAGTTGCTGTTGGGCATCGTTGGGGTTCCTGAAAGAGAGTTTCTAGCTTGGAAAATGTTGTTGCAAAGGAACAATGTAGAAAGAAACAACGTTTATCATTATGTATTTTCAGTAATTTACAGAGCGAGTAACTACTTTTTTTTTTTGCTTTAAAGTATGCACTTAGGTTTTGAGGCATTTATAGGATTGCAAATTATGGTTCATATTGGCCACAGCTGTTACAGAAACACTGAACAATTGGGACTTCCTGAAATGCGATCTACTGCTGCTTTAATATGCTGTATTGGTTGGAGTTTGCCTTTCATTCCCAACGGATTTGACTAATGTTCCTAGAAACTTGCTTTCTTTAAAGCTAATTTCCAAATGTAAACAAATCTGTAATGTGCTCGATGTTCTGAGCTGGAAAGAACCTCAAATGCATTTCTGTAACACAGACAAGAGTGACTAAACTAAATGCTTCCAGAAAGTGAAGCAGCCTAGTACAGCTTTGAATTAACCTTAAAATACCTGGTTCATCTTGAACTGTACTTGCTACAGTTACCTGTAGTGGGCATCTGGGTCTGTGATGGATTGGTAGAAGTGGCTTTAATGGGTTGTACCATCCCTGTGCGCTGTGCTATGTGTGATATTTAGGGTAGCTGGTTTCCTTAGCCTGGGCCTGTTGGCCCATTTTTACTTTATTTTTCTTTTTAAAGCTTCCTAACCTGACCTGTTAGCCAGCCCTTGAAAATGGCACTCTTGTGGTAGTTCTTGCTGGTGTGGTCAAATTGAACATGTGCTGTAGTTTTGGTACAAGCACTGAGAAAGGTGGCTAAGTTAAGTTCACAGCTCTGCTTTTGCCATGCGATGTCCCTTTTGACTTTTTTTTTTTTGACACTAGTTAGCGGAATGCAGTCAGACTGACTGTGGTTCCATTTCCAACTGGTGCTATGCCTGGCCTTGTCTGGTATGCCATCTTGCTCTTTTCCTTCAACTGTCTTAAAATTTTCCCCTAAACTGTCAACCTTTGTTAGGTTTATTTTTGAAGTGAAAGAGAGATAAGGTACTATGTAACTAAAAAACATCATCCTGTTTCTTGCATAGTTGCCTTATGTTTCCTTCTGCTTCTCTTTGTGTTCTTTCAGTCTTAGTCAGCTCAGGGAAAAAACGCTTTTGCTTTATAAAAGATCTCTGAGTGTCTTCAGCTTTGTAGGCACAACAAAACTATTTTATGCAGGAGACTGTGGAAAACAATGTTGATTATTGGCATAGGCAGGTAGGCTCTTCCCTCACACAAAATAAATATTTGTAAAAAAGATTAATGTTCTTGTTATAGTTGGGTTTAAGCACAGACATTTTTACTGCATTTTTATGGAGTATGTAGATAATTTACAGTAGAAGTTAGCTAATCTGTCTTTCAGTAACTTTTACTCAGTTAGAAGAGATGGAATTCAGGTTGCAAATAGGTCAAAGGAGGTCAGTGCTTTGGAAAATCTCAATAGAGCTGCAGTAACAAATCACACCTTTGCCGTGAGGCATTTAGATCCACGGCAGGGATGTGCTTCTGCCAGTGACTCACTGAGGGAGATACTTTACAGAAGAATGCGTGATTCCTGAATTAATTATCCTACAAAATAGCATTTGGGAATCAGTTTATTCCAGACAGTTAACCACTCTGTGATTTCTGACTGACCTTCGGCTTGTCAGATGGCAGAACCAAAGCGTGTTTTACCCAGAAGCAGGGAACATAACTTTGGAATTCCTCCTTAGGAAACTGGTTGTCATAGCCAAATTGTCTTGCTTACAGTTTGTAATTCTGTCCGGTATATTTGCAACTAAGTATTAGTCCTGTTAGTGACCGATGTCAGCGATGTCTGATAGCAAAAGTTAATTTATTTGCAAGGGCTTTTAATACAGAGGTGGTGTTGACAGAGAAGTCCAAGGCAGTTGAAAGCTGCGGGAGCAACCTACAGTGGAAACTGATGTTACTTACTGTATGATGGTCTTTCAGATGAAAGCTTTAGTCTTGAGGATGTTGCCTGGTGATGTTTTTACATACGCGAATGCTTTTGAAAAATGTGAAATGCTTAATGGTGAGGAGTGTACATATTTGCTACCCTCTAAAACAGTGACTTCAACAAGGTGACTCAGTTGATTGAAAAATCTCATGTTACGCTTGGGTAATGCAAATACTGAAGCTTTGTCTTGTCACGTTCTTAAATGGGATTTGTTCTTCTTCTCTTTTAGGAAATGCCCAATTCTGTCTTTTTGGTAATGGAGGTATGTGTTAACATACATGTTTCTTTCTGACTGATTTTGAAGATGATTTTTAGGCAAAACTCCTTTGCGCAGCTGCGAAATAACCATGACTTGTTAAAGCAAGCAATTCTGAAAACTATTTATTTCCTATGCACCACTAAATTTATCAGCAGTGTTTGTTCCATAAATTATTCAGTTTCATTTTATGATGCTGTAAGTATTGATGAAGTGTTGCACCTCAAATTATTAATTGCAGATAATTGACAAAACAATTTCAAGGCAAACAGCTGGGAAGGATCTTCTAATTTTTGTGAAAAGATTTCAAAATAAAAATTATATAGCAAGTATTTCAGTGCTTGTGTTTTCATAAAAACCTTTCTTTTCAACAGTACTGCAATGGTGGGGATTTGGCAGATTACTTACAAGGTAATTGATTACTGTATTTCCCTATGAGGAAGCTGTTGCATTACAGTTTATATTCTGTATTCCTGTAATCCACTGGTGTTTCTCTGAGATTTTTTTTTGTTTGTTTGTGGTTTAAATAATTTTCTGTTCATGGAATGTCTGTAATTCCACAACTCATGTTCACCCTGGTGTGATTTTAGAGTACCCTCTTCATAAGAGTGAGTGACTTCACCAAGAATCTGTTTAGTGTTGTATTCTGTTTCCAGTCAAGGTCAGCAGCAGTGCTGTTTGTTTATATGCCACCCTGGGAACTTGAAAACTAAATTTTGAAGCTGCAGGAAGACAGAAGTTTTTGCATTTGTTTAAAAATATTTCCCAGTGTTTTTAAATGCCATTCGTAATTGAAAATAAAACCCACAAAGAAGCAAGGAAGGTAAATAAAATAATGCGCAGACAGAAACCACTTTTTTGCCACTGCTTCCAAAACAGTTGAATGTAACATTTTCTTATTTGTAAATGAGGAAGAAGATGTAGCTAACCCTCAGTAGCATGCTGGAGAATGTGTGGTTTTCTGTTTCTAAAGTTGTGATTTGGGGGCTGCTCCCAGTGTTTTCATTCCACCTGCCTTCTTTTCCAAGATGTGAACTGAAAAAATACTGAATTACTTATATAATAATGCTTCCTACAAAGAGGCAGATCTGGCTTAGGAGAGATTTTACCCTCCAGCATGGCTTTGCCCAAAGTGAAGACAGAAGTTACAGAATCATGACAAGTGGATTCTTATTACAAACAAAATTTTGAGCAGAGAAGTTAATTTTCATATTTTTCTTGATGAAAATATTCTTCTACTTGCCTTTGTATCTCAGTATGTGGAAGGAATCTTTTTGTGAGCAGCTATTGTTATGGTAACTGTATGTATTAAAAGCCTAATTCACTTCCCATTAAAATCCTTGGAAAGACTCCTACAGTATAATCCAGCTCCTGTGTTCAGTACTTTTTCAGACTGCAGAATGAGATAATACCTTCTGAAGAGACTTTCAAAAGTCCATCTTTTTTTTTTTTCCCCCCCCCCCCCCCCCAAATAAGTTTTGTCCTGGATGAAACCTTTGAGCAGAGTGGTTATCTGCATCACTATAATAATTTGTTTAAAGAACAGGTTTTATGCTTCAGTTTGTAACACAATTGTAGATACATTTAATGTTTTAAACTGTGAAGTTCTTTATTTTCTTGGCTCCTTTGCCTTTTTAGCGAGTTTAGGATTTAATGGTGATTGAGAAGTTTTACAATTATTATGCTACCAGGTTGAGTAAACTACTGTAAAACCAGATAATTCAGAATACTGTAGCTCATGTAAAACTGTGGAGATGTATATGTTGTTGAGAGTGTAAACATTTGTAGGAAAATACTGGAGATTGGATTGTTCTGAATGTAATTTACTATGATTTGATTGTCTTCATTCTTTTCACAGTTGATCACTGTGAAGTTTATTGCTTTTTCCCCAAAGATGATGATATTTATTTTCTCATTTGCTAATGTCTATGTTATTTCCAGCTAAAGGAACTCTTAGTGAAGATACCATCCGGGTGTTTCTCCAGCAGATTGCAGCAGCTATGCGTATTCTGCACAGTAAAGGAATCATTCACAGGGATCTTAAACCACAGAATATTTTGTTGTCTTATGCCAGTCGTAGGAAGTCAAGTGTCAGTGGCATACGCATCAAAATAGGTAAATGTGCTTTTCTGTGATCTAAAGGTAAATCGTCAGTGTTGGATTGTTTCCCTACTCAGAAGTGTCTCTGTAGTTAAAGCGCAGAGGGTGTACTGGACATGGTGTGTGTTAAATTGATGCCAATCAGGCAGTTAGTCTAGAACGATGAGCTCTATGCTGTAATGCAGAATCTTGGTATAAAAAAAGATTGAGTCATAGAGACCTTTTTTGATTAAATCTACAGGAAAAATAAACCTATTTAGCTGGTGTTTCTCATATTAAACTATTTTAATTAGACATAAATCTGTAACCTTTGAAACTTCGAGTAGTCTCATGGCAATTCCTAGGACTTTTCCTTCTAGTCATGAAAACATTAGCTCATCTCAAAACTGTGTGCATGCGAGACTCCTGTCGCAGTTCCAGCTGCTTTGGTTGTTTTTTTTTTGTGGTAGACCCTCCTAAAGGTTATTTGAGAAGTTTAGAAATGTAGGTTATGACCTATTTTAGGCAGAAAGAGGTTTGGCATTGTAACTGAGGAGAGATGTCGACTGTTCAGGATACTACCAAACTCCTCTTCAGAAGACACTTCAGAAATTTTAATCTCTTATTGTTGTCTGTTAAGTGTCCATTTAAAAATACCTTGTTTGCAACAAGTTTTTTCGCTATGCTTTTGCTCCACTGAAATCTGAGATCTGTTCCAACTCACTCAGTCTTCTAAACAGCACAGAGGAGACAAAACTTCTTCTCTTGCTGTCCTTACTTGATAGTTTCAAATGCTTTTGCCTACATGGAAAATTCAGGCATCTGAAACTTGACTTAAACTTCTACCTGATGTGATTTCACTGGAGCAGATTGTATATTCATCATTCT